ATTGCTCTTTCAATTCCTTAATCTCTGATGGTACCATTTTGTAAGGAGGAATAAAAATAGGCTGGGTATCTGGAAGGATATCAATTCCAAAGTCGATTTCCCTATCGGGAGGGACTCCGGGAATATCTTTTGGAAACACTTCTGGAAACTAATTGACTACTGGGTCTGACTCAATAGTTGGGGTTTCAGATCTATAATCAATAACCCGAACTAGATGATAGAGATAACCCTTAGAGATCATCTTTCTGGCCTTAAGTTAAGAGACGAATCGACCCATATGCGCTAAACTACTACCCGTCCATTCAAAGATTGGTTCATCTAAAAACTAAAAATGAACAATCCTAGTTCTACAATCGACTGAGGCATAACAAGAAATTAACCAATCCATGCCTAGAATGACATAAAAATCTACCATTTATAACTCTATAATATCCGCTGAGCTGACTTTCTAAGATACTGTGATAGGGAAATTTCTGTATACACGTCTAGTTATAATTGGTTCACCGACTTGAGTAGAGACTGAGAGAGATTCTGAGAGAGTTTCTAGACTAACACTGAATTGGACTGCTATGTAAGGAGTTACAAAAGAAAGAGTAGCCCCTGGATCTCAAAAGGTCAAAAAGACTCGTAAGGTACAGTAACTACATCAAGAGAACCTTCCTGATCCTGGCGAGCTTGAAGAGCATACAACCTGTTCTGGTACTGACCGCCACCTATACCAGAGGAGTTACCTTGCTGAGTTGGGCGACTTGCTGGTGTTGCTAAAGTTGTAGACTAAGTTCTACCATTACCGCCTCCTTGACCCTGTCTAGAAGGATAATCCCTCAACCTGTGACCAGGCTAACCGCACCGAAAGCATCCTTCTTTTCATGCGAGACACTCGCCCGGATGGTTCTTACCACACTTAGGGCAAGTAGGGTGAGTCTTGGTGCCTGAAACACTTCCCTGAGACTTAGAGACTTGTGCTCTACCCTTCTTGTCATACATGTTCTTAGATGATGGAACACTAGCCAACGAAAGGGCTGGAGATGAAAACTTTTGCTGACTCTGTGAGCGATTTCCACCACCCAATTTCTGCTGATAATAGTCATAGTTCCCAGTCCTAACCTTCTTATTCTCCATAGCTTGTTCCTTAAGATTATCACCCTCAACATGATGAGCATGAGTCATAAGCCTAGAGATATTCATATCTCCAAGTAACGTAGCACTTCTGCACTCAGTTTTCACCAAATTCGACACTACATACAAGAACTTATTCATCTGAGCCCTAGAGTCAGCAACCATTTAAGGAGCATACCTTTAGAGTTGGTTAAACTTGAGTCCATACTCTTGGAATGCCATGTTACCCTACCTGAAGTTCATGAATTCTTGGGCTTTTTCTTCTCTCAAATCTATTGGGAAAAATCTGTCGAGAAAAGTCTCACTAAACCAATTCCAAGTGATAGGAGCCGCATTTGCACCCCTATTCTCCTTACACTGAGTGTACCAAAATGAGCAACATCTTTCAACTGGTATGATGTCAACTCAACCCGATCATTCCCACTGTCTTGCATTACCTCAAACATTTCCTTGATCCCATCCGAGAAATTATGAGGATCCTCATTAGCTTGCGATCCTAAGCACTCAGGCGGATTTATCCTAACAAAGTCACAAACCCTTGCTGCTACTGATCCACCATTTTCATTCACATGAGCATGAACCTGATTGTTCTGGTTAGTCATACTCTGAGCCAGCATCTGTATGGAATTTCTAAACTCAGCATGGGGGATTCCTGATTGGGATTGGAGAAATTGCATTCACATTCCTGGAATTCGCATTCCTAGCGTTAGCTCTACGAGGAGGAATGACCTAACACGTAGAACATCAATTTAGAATGGAATAATATCATACCTTACGCACGATAAGAGTAACAAGAAAGTGAAGTTTTTCCTAAAACACTTTATAGCCTCCCTCTAATTAGATGTGGTATACTTCACACCCATGAAAAGGACTCTACTTAGTGCGGCTTTTCAGACATCCTAAGACTCTTGAACTTAGTGCTCTGATACAAAGTTTTGTCACGTCTCGAGCTACCCTCGAGACGCGGATACCGAACCTAGGACCATAAGTGATTCCAAGTTAAACCTGTTGGCATGATCATGAGCATACTAAAGATAATAAACTGTTGTGGAAGCTAAATCATAATTTAAACTCAAAAGATGGGGAATACCCATATTCTATAACTAAGATATTTGAAAACAATGAGTTTAATACAAAGGAAATATTAACTCAATACTAAGTTGAAACTAACTATATCAGAAAGTAGCCTCTAAATTGGACTAGAAATATTGGATAAGCCCTAGCTAAATCTTGCAAAAAACTGAAACTAAAAGACTAAATACTTAAAAAAACTCATGACTATTATCTTCGGAGAATGAGAACTCACCACTAAGTCTGCTGAACTAAAGATCGGAAATCGATCTATGCGTGATCTAGATGCTTAGAACCTGAACCTACATCACGAGAAGATGTAGCGCATGTATGCGTTAGTACTTGAAAGATATAGAGCATGTAAGATAGAATAAATTTGAAATAAAACATAATTGAACAAGCACAAAAGCAAGTATAATAATTTGAACACGATATAAAGAATCCTGATCTAACTGAATGCAATGACCAATTTATAACATGCTGAAACTGAATATTGAGTATACTAATTAATGGTCAATACAAGAGAGTCTGACTGAACTGTAGGAGCTACTAATATCCGATAATAAAACTACATGAGCTAAATGTGGAATCCGATGTATACATCCCATCGAGAGGACCCAATATACCCTGCCAAGGGTATAAAGACATGCTGGCATGATCACTAAACTAATTGCCCATAGAGGGGACTTACAACCTACTTGGCTAGTAGTTATCAGACTAATTGGATACGCTGAACCCTTGTCCAACTCGGTATTATGCTACTCTCATTGATTTATGTAGTTAACTGATTGTGTCTGAATTTTCTGTAATTACTGGATAGCTCAAAACTTAACATACAAACTGAGAATGCAACATTTAATCTAATAATGATGCATTAAAAACTTAGGCATGTATAACTGAATAGCTGAAATGTCTGACCTAGCATGTGTAATTCAAAGAACTAAAGAAATACAGAGCTAGGGTTCTGAAATTCATGGGATAAACTGAATAATAATTTTACAATCTGATTTGCAGCATATATCTAATAAATTCATGAAGTATCAAAGTTCTAGAAACCCTGGGTTTAATCATGATAAGAGAATCAAGAACTGACTAAAAACTAGGGACCTAATGGGTGAAAGGAACCCACTAGTGAAATCTCACATACCTGGTGATGAAATTCACAGAGAACCACTTAGACTTCGGGGCTGTAATTGTTAGAACTTTGTTGAGTTCTTGAACTAGGGTTCTTGACCTTTTTCTCCTTTCCTGCTTCTATTTTTTCTATGTTTTGATTAATGATTTGACTTAGGGTAAGTTTTAGTTACGTTTCTAGGCTTAAACTGACTAAAATCTGGTGATTTAGGGTCAAAACGACGTGTCATATGGTTTAGATGGAGTGAGAAAAGATCAAAAGACCCCTGGGTTAATTATTGTCAAACCAAACGACGACTTGGACAGACGGTCTGTCGTTCCATCGATGGTTCGTCGTTTGGGTCCGTAGGTTGGGCCTCTTCGACAGGCCTTTACTAAAACAGTCATAACATTTTACTTGGAGGTCTGATTTTAGAAAGATCGGCGTCTATGAAAAGGTAATTCAATTATCTATCTGTGGGTATGTCATGGGACACCTAATTCATTTTTTTGCTAAGATTCATGATCAATTGAAGTTGACCCAACTGTGTTTCCCCTTAAAATGTCTGCTAATTTTTATCTACGATCAGACATAAAGACCGTCTATCTACGGTCAGACCTAAAAACCGTAGATCGAATGACGGTCTGTGATGGTCAACCGTGGTTTGTATCAGAGAGTGATAAATGGTGTATTGATCGACAAACTCAGACTACGGAACCGTAGGTTTGTCCGTCATTCGACACTTAGTCAAATTTTCTGGACTAAGATTTTGGGGGTGTTTCTGACTCAATCGACGGATGTGCAGGACGGACTGTGGGTCAAGCTACGATCCATCGATGGAAACCGCCGATGCACCTGCAGATTTTTTTTGGAAAGCTAATTTTTGGTCTGTTTTGGGATACCGGGTGTTACAAAAATTATTGAATTTAAGGTTACTACATTTATTTGTGATATTTTGGCATTAATTTTATAGTTTTTTCATATTTTTTTTAATTTTTTATTAATCAATTACTCATTTAAAAATAAATATTATCACATGTAACAATATATTTCTGGAAAAGTTGTATATTTGAATTTAGAATGCTTCATTGTTTGAGTATCATCTTTCATTTGCAAGGAGTATTACTTGGTTTATAACAAGGTGTTTTAAGTTTGTATAACATGCGCCCAATTGGTGATAACTCTTTTGTTGCTGGTGCACTTGCTGATACCATGTAAGAAGCGATAACATTGGTAGAAATTTGTTATTTCTAATAGTGACTCGAAAAACCATGCTCCAATATGATTTGTAGTTTCATTTCACAAATTTGACAGTGCTGGGCATTGTGGGAGTGCCTCAAACAATGATACCTTAGTTTACAAGCATTATAAACCACACGAATTGAGACATTACCACATTCGCTTAATTAGAGAGGGAGTTGGGAAGGACCAATACATCTTCACAAAGTTGTTTCTAGAGTAATTTAAGTTGTACTATGTTAGGTACCACTTTATTAAATAGGTATCGTACTAACATAATACCTGCCATGTATTTAGATACCCTCGTGTCTTTGTTTTATATTATATATTTATATATACATACATACATATATACATACATACATACACACACACACACACACACATATATATATATATATATCACTTTACTTAACAAGGATAATTATGTAATTTTGCCATAAAATTTAGAGAATTTCTAGAGGATGAACAAGGGCACATGTGTAATTTCACTAATACCGGCTTGGACGAACACTACCAAGTTGTGTGGATAGCACCTTATACATCCATGTTTACTCTACTCTTTTCCTCTTTGATGCAAATTGTAGAAATCAAAATCAACCTCTTTCTCCAAAACTCTTCATCAGGTATTTATGTTAATTTCTTCTGAATGGCTTGGAACTTTGATTTTTTGATTTTTTATTTCCTTTTTGGATTTCTTTTTCGAAGGTTTCAATTTTGGTTCAAATTTTTCTGGGGTTATATTATATTTTTGATCACTAACAGGTAGGTAGTATTGCTTTGACGATTTTGCCTCTTCTCTCCCATGTTTTCGCGTCCCTGCTAATTTAGAAACTTTAGAAGATATGAGATTCTGTAATAATTATTCTACAATAAGTTGTGTCTTCGGTTCTTAAAACTGATTTTATATACGCATGTAGTCATTCACTATTTTCTATCAATTGCATAGTCCTTACTTAGAAGAATCTGAGTAAAATTATCAAAAATTAGTAATGGAGTTGTGTTGTTTCATTTATTTTTATTAATTTGTAATCTAAATTATAATTGGCTAAGCGAGTCTTTCCTGTTTTAGTAAGATAATTATTCTAATTTCAAAGATTTATACAGGGAAAAAATATTGAGCTTGTAGTAGGGGAAACAAAGTTGTTGATAGTTGAGGTGAGAAAGTATCACTCAACACCATTGGTAAGTTAATGAAATTCTATGTTTTGCAATAGGAGAGAACATGTAATACATTCATATTTATCAAGCTTTTTCTCGAGTATTTTATGCTATGATAACTTCTTTTCTTCTTGTAGAAAACAAAAAGAAAATATTTTCTTATTGTTTCATTCTTCACCTTTAATATGATCATTGACTTCAATCATCCAACACTATCTAGAGTTCCTCATTTTCATTCCATTGTTACCATACTGGCAACAATAAAATGGTTATGGCATGCGGGATGAAAAATTGCATATCATCCTTTCAGAATTAAGAATAATATGATACATTGAACTTATGATATCACATCAGTATTCAAGACATTATCAACATGTCAACTCTGCAGTTACTTGTAATAATCATGTTGGGCCCGTATGCCATGACCATCTAGTATATATATAATATAAATTACATAAATCACATAGTATAAAATCTAAATTACATCATATTCCTACTTTTTTTAATTTTACGAAAATTCCTTAAAATGTAAGTCATCCGGATACATAATTGGTTGTTCGGATATATTAATTTGATACATTATAAATATGGTTGTTGCGCTTAAAAAGAAAAACAAATCAGAAAATCATATTAAAATCCCATAAATTATGGTATTCAATTCCTCTTTACTGTGTTAATGGAGCAACTAAATCCTAAAGTAACAAATCTATTCAAAATCCAAAATCCCTTTTCATCTTTGCCCCTATTTCAAGGGGGAAAAATTTCAAGGATTCAAAATTTTTGTTGAAAGTTTGATCAGATACAAGATGAGTATTTTGATTTTGACTGACACTCTCGAAGGAGGAAAAAATCAAATATCGTAGCTTTTGGGTTCTTCAAATCTTACATAAATCTCACTATGATTGACGATTAGGTCGAATTTCTTTGACAACTTTCTTGGTATCTTTTTTTTGAGTTGATGGTTGCTTGCTGGTGTGATGACAGATCTCAAATATGAAGGCAACAGAAAGTTGTTATTATATAATTAACTTGAGCAAAATTAGTTATGTTTATTTTTCATAACTTCGATTTTCGAGTTAAAAGATTGATAGAAAAAATATCCAACACATCTTCGTGTGCTTTAATCATTGTTTTTTCATTTATGAATTTGTATATTGACCTATAAGTCATGATACATTATTGGTTAGAACTTGATACATTAAAGTGTTCACGTATATGTTGTGGGTTTGAAGATCTGTGAGTTAATGTGTTGTTAATATAAAGTATCACATTATGTGCATTTTTTTTTACTTTTGAATTTGTATAAGAATATATAAATCATGATACATTACTGATTTTAACTTGATTCAATTCTAGTTTGATATGTATGTAATGAATTTTCTAGATGTGAGTCAGTCTGTTGTTACTATAACTTATTAGATACATATAAAAAATTTAATGTATCAATATATGAATTTCTTTATCAATATATGAAGGTATGTATCAATATATAAACTATCATGTATTTGAAGTAGTTTTTATTAGGATATTGTGTATCTTAAATTGAGTTGATTGATATGTGATGTATCTCTAACTTTCAAGTGTGCACAGATGGCGAAATTCGTGGACAAGAAGGTCACAACCGAAGAACTTGTACTTTTTTCAGAAAGAAGATTGACAAACTTTTTTCTAGACTACTAGCATGTTTTTGATACATCATTTTCAGATTATCAATTTTAATTTTTTTGTTTTTTTTCATTTTTACTTTTATAGAACATTACAATTAACTATCAGGTGGTGAAATTCTGATACAATAAATTGAAATGTTAAGATTTTGAACTTTGTGTTTATTTTTGTAACAAATTATGTTTCACATATAATTATTTGAGAATAATGTACCATAGATTATGTTTATGGAGATTGTAACACTTAATATGGTTCAGATATATTTTTCTTATAGTGTATCATGTTCTAATTGAAAATAGTGTATCCTATATAATAGGGTTGTAAAAAAGTAGTATACATAATTAAATAAAGTGTATCTTTAAATGTATCACAATAAGTAAAAAATAATTTATCAATAGATACATGAATGATTTACGAAGTAATCACAACTAATTATCCAATATATCAGCATAAATCAATACGCAACTTACTAGAACTAAGTTATCAAATAAATACATAATTGAATCAGCAGTCAAGTTATATATTACATTGGATTAGTTAGGTGTCAAATTGTATTACTAATTAACTAAAACTAATGAGAAGAAACAATATTGTGTATTTATATGCATTTATATAAGACAAATGTGTGAGACAATTCATACTATAAATAACAACTAACAATAATGAAAGTTAAAGTCAAAATAAATAATTTTATAGAGAAACACTCTAAAACATGAGTACAAGTATCTTAAAACAATTTTAAAAAATCTAAAATTAGAGTTAATAGATCTCAAAAACAATAACAATATAAAAGAACTGCCTAAAAACTCATTGATAATCTCTATTCAACATTAACCAAATTGTCTTGAGCTAGTGCTGTGAATTGACTCTTAGACCTTAATTGATACTTAATGATAATAAATAGTAATTGATACTTAATAACAAATTATGTTTGAATCTGCTACAAAATGTAACATCATATATTCATGATATGATATTTACGTATCATGTGTTCAACTATTTTAAACTATGATACACAGTTCTGCAATTTACATCCATAATATAATTTTGAACTTTAGTCTTTGATACATTGAACATAAATATCAAAAAAAATTATTTGAAACAAACTGACATTTCTTTGAATCTGATAAAAAATGATACATATATCAAATATAAAGTATTTTGATTGTTTATGTGATATAGATACTTACTTCAACTTGATAAAGTGCAAATGTATCAAAACTTTTATATGATACTAATTAAACTTCACATACTCATTATTATGTATCAGATATAATTATATTGTATGTGATATAAGATACTACAAATTATAGCCTATTCTACAATGCGAATTTTATAACTTCATACATCCATAACACCTATTCAAAACGAGAACAAATTAGAATTAAATGTATCTAGATAATACTTTAACTTATGATATATGACCATACGAGAACAATACCTTGTCATTAATAATTTAAATTTTTGAATCAACGAACAAAAGGAAATATCAAACATCTATCAAAAATTTATATCTAATACTCATTACAACTTAATGAACTAATATTGTTTATCTTGGATTGATCATCAGTCTTTTCTGTCGCTCATGTACCATTGGAAGAATATTCAAGTACACCTACATAAAAAATAAATCAGAAAAATTCACCTCGATAGAAAAATAAGACTAATATTAGGAATTGTAGTCAGCAATGACAGAGAAATTAATTAAAAACGACGTCGTCTCATAAGCATTAGAATTGTTAAAGAGAACCAATGTAAGATGAAGAAGATGAAACTTCGAAAAAAATTGAACGGTAGAATGGAGAAGATGAAAACTTGATTTGAAATTAATTGTAACTAGAGAGAAAAACCTTTTGAAATTCAAATTGGGATCAAGGATGTAACTGATCAGATTATGGGAGTAAAATAAGGGAGAGATTTAAGAAACAAAAATAGAAAGGGAACGTGGGTTGTTATGTTAGGAGTAATGTATCTGTTGACTTAAGAATTGGAAAAAAAAAGGGGATTTCAGAAATACTTTAAAATGGTAGGGAATAATGGAAATTATGGAAAATAAAGGCGTGTTTATAGGTATTTTTTCCACATATATAAGCCCGTGTTAATCTGAACTCGATATATTTTTTTTTAACAGAAAAAATTACTTGGATGGGTATCTTTAAATAAATAATTATAAATTAGTGATATTTTTTGTTTATTATAATTAATAGCAATACTATGTTAAATCTACCATGTATATTAAAGTGAAATATGTATGTATTATAACTATTTTTTTTAAAATATATTATGTTTGTTTGATAAGAAAGTGACACATTGTTTTTGTTAATAACTGTTTTTTCTCACATTGGTTGTAACCGGGTTTTCACTTTTGCATGAGAAGATTAGTGAAAATGGTTGAAAATCTTGTGCGACAGATCGTGATTTTACTCCTTTAAGTAAGGAGGTTTCCACGTAAATTGCTTCTGTTGTATTCTTGCTATTATTTACTCTTCGTTCTTAATATGTTTTAGTTAAGCGACCTAGTCCGTTACGCATGTATTCTATCAGGAAACACTTCCAACTACTACAAACGCCATCAAAGAGAAATCAACATCCTTATTACAAGGTGGTTGATGCACTAATGAAGGAAGGGACTAATCATCTAACACAACCAAATTCCTTTTTGTACTGTGAAGTTGTTTGTCTTGGAAAAGCTAGAAGCAGACACAGCGGAAGCTCGTTTGATAGGCTGACTAATTTGTTGAATCCATCCCATTCTTTTAGTCAACTTTAGCTATTCAATTGGTACAAGCAATTTTTAAAAAAGAATAGTAATTGGAATTGAAAAGAAAAGATTTGGTAGTTGGCAAATTGGTAAGATTTGCAACCATTCTTGACTTTGCTATGTTTACATATTTCATTAGTGACATAGGCATGGTTTTATCCTTCTATAAATAGAGCATTCTTGCTCATTTGTACAACACACCAAGTTAGAGAGAAAAACCATTTTGAGAGCAAAGTGAGGTATTCCATAGACTATATAAGAAAATAGTCCGTGAAAAAAAATAGAGTGTGAGCGATATTTTAGTAAGATGGAAACCAAAAGAGGGTTGTTCCTTTTGAGTGTGTAGTAGTCACTTTGAGTGTTGTATTCGTGACTACACAGTGTAAAATTCCTTACTATAGTAATATCAATTGCTCCTCTTGGGCCGTGGTTTTTTTCTTTATTCAGAAGGGTTTCCACGTAAAATTCTTAGTGTCGTTATTTTCTCATTTTATTTCCATTACTTTTACCATATATTTTTTGTGCTTGTCCGCGTTTTCCCAAAAAACTGGTATCAGAGCCAAGGTTTTATCTGAGTATGCTTTGTGGTTGCAGCACAGTCTGAACTTCCACATCAGAAAAGATTTACTTTGATTTACGATAACTATAATTTTTGGGGAAAATAATGGAAGCCAACACAAGTAGAATGGTTACTTTGAATGGTGTTAATTATGTCATTTGGAAGGGGAAAATGAAAGATCTGCTTTATGTCAAGAATTTTTATAAACCAGTATTTACCAATGTAAAGCCTGATAATATAACAGATGAAGAGTGGAGTCTGTTGCATAGACAGGTTTGTGGATTCATTAGGCAATGGGTCGGCGATAATGTGTTGAACCATATTTCTGGGGAAACACATGCTCGAACCCTATGAGAGCATCTTGAAAATTTGTATGCTCGAAATATTGGCAACAACAAAATGTTCTTAATAAAGCAGATGTTGAGTTTGAAGTATCATGATGGTTGTCCAATGACATACCATCTGAATAATTTTCAGGGGATTATGAACCAATTATCTGCTATGGGCATCAAATTTGATGAAAAATTCAAGGCTTGCTTCTACTTGGTTCCCTACCAGATTCTTGTCAAATTCTGCTCCGGATGGTGTGATCTCTATTGGTTCCGCCAAGAGTAGTGTCTTGAACGAAGATATGAGAAGAAAAACTCAAGGTTCCTCTTCGTCGGATGTCCTAATAACTGGCCCCAGGGGAAGAAATAAAACTCGTGGTTCTCAGCATAGAGAACAAAATAGGAGCAAATCCAAAGGCAGACTTAAGGGTATTGAGTGCTATCATTGTGGCATAAAAGGGCACACAAAGAAGTTCTGCAGGAAGTTGAAGAGGGAGAACAATAACAAAGAGGAAACTAAACATGATGGCAATGAGAGTTGCCTAGCCACCGTCACCACCAAAGATCTTGTTACCGTTCTTGATGCAAACATGATAAATATTGCTTGTGATGAGTCAAACTGGGTTGTGGACACTGGTGCCGCATCTCATGTGACATCAAGAAAGGATTTTTTCTCTTCCTACACTCCTGGTTATTTTGGAACCTTGAGTATGGGTAATGAGACTGTTTCTAGGGTGGTTGGTATTGGTACAATTTGTTTGGAAACTAGTATTGGAACTAAACTAGTTTTGAACAATGTGAAACATGCTCCTGATGTTCGTCTGCACCTAATTTCTGTTGGTGCTTTAGATGATGAAGGATATGTTAGTACCAACGGTGATGGAAAATGGAAGCTCATTAAGGGTTCCTTGATCGTGGCTCGTGGTAAAAAACGTCGTGGTCTATACTGGACTACGGCCTCTGCTTGTGTTGATATGGTGAATGCGGTTGAGAGCGATAACTCTTCAACATTATGGCACAAGAGGCTTAGCCACATTAGCGATAAAGGACTTAATGTTCTAGCCAAGAAGAAATTATTGTCAAATTTCCAAAGTGCTAAATTAGAAAAATGTGAACACTGCTTGGCTGGTAAACAAAATAGAGTTTCCTTTAAGTCCTACCCTCCTTCGAGAAAGACAGAGTTGCTTGAGTTAGTGCACTCTGATTTATGTGGTCCAATGAAGACAAAGACATTGGGTGGTGCACTTTACTTTGTCACTTTCATTGATGATTGCTCGAAAAAACTTTGGGTCTATGTTTTGAAGACTAAAGACCAAGTGTTAGGTGTCTTTAAGCAGTTTCAGGCTTCAGTTGAAAGAGAAACTGGAAAGAAATTGAAATGTATTCGTACAGATAATGATGGTGAATATAGTGGACCATTTGACGAATACTGCAAGCATCAAGGTATTAGACACCAGAAGAATCCTCCCAAGACTCCTCAGCTTAATGGTTTGGCTGAGAGGATGAACAGGACCTTGATGGAAAGAGTTAGATGTTTACAAACTGAAGCAAAGTTGTCGAACTCATTTTGGGGTGAGGCTTTATTGACAACTGCACATGTTATTAATCTATCTCCTGCTGTTGCTTTGCAAACTGATGTGCCAAATAGTGTTTGGTATGGAAAGGATGTTTCCTATGACCATTTGAGAGTATTTGGTTGCAAATCTTTTGTACATGTGCCGAAAGATGAGAGGTCAAAATTAGATGCCAAGACAAGGCAATGCATCTTCATTGGATATGGCCTAGATGAATTTGGTTACAGACTATATGATCCAATTGAAATGAAACTTGTGAGAAGCCGTGATATTATTTTCATGGTGAATCAAACAATTGAAGATATTGACAAAGCGGAGAAGGTAGAATCTTCAAGTTTTGATGGTATAGTTCATCATGATGAAGTTCCTCCCACAAGAGTGCATGATGTTGTTGGGTTTGATAATCATGGTGACGCCCAGAATCATGTATCGAATCAACATGTTGATGTTGATAATAACAATAATATTGTTATTGATGATCCTGTTGCTCATGAAGTTGTGGACGAATCAAATATTCCGCTTCGGAGGTCCACAAGAGAGCGGTTTTCTTCCTCCCGTTATTCACCCAATGAGTATGTATTACTCACTAACGGGGGAGAACCTGAATGTTATGAGGAGGCCATGGAAGATGAGCACAAGAATCAATGGATTGAAGCCATGCAAGACGAGATGAAGTCTTTGCATGAGAACCACACTTATGAGTTGGTAAAATTGTCCAAGGGCATGAGAGCTTTGAAGAACAAGTGGGTGTTCAAAGTTAAAGTTGAAGAACACAACTTGAAGCCCAGGTACAAAGCTAGATTGGTTGTTAAGGGATTCGGTCAAAGGAAAGGTATTGACTTTGACGAAATATTTTCTCTTGTTGTGAAAATGTCCTCGATTTGCACAGTTCTAGGTTTGGCTGCTAGTCTTAATTTAGAGATTGAGCAGATGGATGTGAAGACGGCTTTCCTTCACGGTGACCTAGAAGAAAAGATTTATATGGAACAACCTGAGGGCTTCAAAGTAGATGGTAAAGAAAATTTTGTATGCAAACTCAAAAAGAGTCTATATGGCCTCAAACAAGCTCCCAGACAGTGGTACAAAAAGTTTGAATCTGTTATGGCGGAGCAAGGCTATAAGAAGACTTCTTCAGATCATTGCGTATTTGTACAAAAATTTTCTGACAATGATTTTATCATCCTTTTGTTGTATGTGGATGATATGTTGATTGTGGGCAAGAATACTTCCAAGATTGACGAGCTAAA